TTCGTGTCTTTGTGCTTCAGTTTCATCATCTCTGTAAATGCTGTTAGACTTTTTTCCCCCCACAGGTGTTGTGAGAATTGGAAATAACGCATGAAAGTGGTTGACACAGAGTAGGTTCACAGTAATGGGTGATGCTGGTGGTTTGTGAGTACTCTTCATGCTCAAATATCTGGATACTGATTGATAGATGCTAAAGGGACAACTCTGTGTCATCACATCTAACACTACATTATGTTCAAATATAGGAGTCCTTTTCTATCTATTTTAGTGAATTTTATTTAACCAGTCTTAAAAGTACTGATTAAAATATACCATTACCAACAAACTGTTTTTTGTAAAACTTGCTTATGAAAAACAATTATAGGTATACATAGATATCTTTAACCTCATTTGGCTTTCCTATTCCTTTTGACTTAAAGAGATAGGCAAGGACATTTTTTTATTATCATCCCCATTCCACAAATGAAATGCATTCATCTCAGAGATATCAAAATAAGACGACCAGTTGAGTGTGATTTCCAATTCCCATTCCATTGTATAGAATATGCCACCAGATACTTTAAAATTTTAAGGCAAAACCTGGAATTCACATAAGAAAAAAAGCTGTTTATTAAACTACTGAGATATCTTAATATTTATGGTTGAGCTAGAACAATTGTTAATGTGTCCTGCATAAGCAGAATAGAGAAAGAATGAGAGACATTTTAGAGCCCCTGATTTTTTTAAGCCCCAAGTTTTGCAACTCTTTTTTGTGGTAATCACAGGCATAGTTCGGTAACTGTTTTGATACATGTATTCAGTCCAGAAATTCAAGGAAACAAATCTTGGGTAATAGATGACTGTAGTAAAATGAAACTACATAATAATAGTAATAAATGCAATTTATGTTCCCTGTGGAATGACTCCAAGTTAAGTGGTTCACTTGCGACTTCTGTGAGTCATCAAATATATACATAGTTCCTTAGGAAATAGTTAAAGAGAGTTTATCAATACTTACCAGAACCCAAAAGGATGCCATAGGTATATACACGTGGGTATATAGCAAAGAGCTGTGATAGACTACAAAACTGATGATAGCCCAGGCAGTCCTACCATGTAATGACTGGTGTGTTGATCGCTGCTCTAATTTTAAAGAGGTATGTTGGCAAAGGGTTCCTGAGCATTCCCAGTTCATCTCAAGCTATAGAAGATAGCATGAAACACCAGTTGAAAATATTACTAACTGACATATTCTTTTCAGGCCCCATATATACAATATCGTCTTAAAAAACAAATAATCTAAAAATACATATTAACTCTGCAATACTTAACTTGTTGAAAGTCAAGATGAGGCCTCACTTAATTCCAGGGAGATATAAACAGAATTAAATTCAGTGTTAACTATTACCAGGATCTAGAATGATCAGATTAGACCATTAAGATGTTTAGGGCAAGAAAAATTTAGTCAGTCTGAATCTCATTCGTAATTGAGAAAATCAAATCCAAATTCAGTTTTCAAATCCATATACTTTGTATGCATTCTCATGACCTTAAAACTCCTATTATAAGATTATTGCTTTTTTATAATTCAGTGATTTTCAGTAAATGAACCTGATTGTGCAGCTGTCATATAAGGGTATTTGCTACTGGACTTTATTCCCAGGATATTTGGGAGAGAAATATTAAAGGCTTGTTAGTGATGGGATATTCCCAGAATATTTGGGAGAGAAATATTAAAGGTTTGTTAGAATATTGGAGAGAGAAACATTAAAGGTGTGTTAGTTATGAGAACACTTGCCATTTGTATAGTTCTAGGTACTCTTCAGGTTGTCAATTGTACAAATAGTACATATTAATTGAGAGCACATACACTGCAGCCAGGCAACCTGGCTTCAAATCTGTTTAGTCACTAACTCGCTTTGTCACCTTGGGTATCCTAAATACCCAACTCTTGTGACGCTTTAGTGAGGTGATCCGTGTAAAGTTCTTACAATGGTACTTGGCCTGTACTATGTGCTATATCTTTCTTTGCTCTTATTATATATATTTCTCTGATGAGGGGGGAAAAAGGCAAAGAAAAATCACCCTAGGTCACACTAACCCAAGATCACACATCTAATGAAAGGTAGGATAGTCTGAGCAAGATTTATCTCTCAGCATTATCCTTCAAAATACTTGTACTGAAAATTCCAAATTTTTTAAAGAAAATCATTCTTTTAGAAGTTCAATCCTAAATGTTCTGGAAAACCTAATGATTAAAGATAACTATAGTCTAATTCATGTTACTAATTATATATATATGTTATTTCCAATACATCATCAATACATATTTGCTATGTGTGTGTGTGTGTGTGTGTGTATTTGTGTGTGTATGTGTGTGTGTGTGTGTGTGTGTGTCTACTATTTACCAGACACTCTGCTGGAAACATTAAGAAATACAGAAGTAAATAATATATGACCCTTATTTTAAAGTAGCTATAATTAGTGGGAATTTAAGTCATGTACTGTTTTTAAAAATGGAACAAAAAAGAGAATAGAGAAGCAGTAAGTAAAGTGAGTTGATGAAGAGGCTACTTACCCTCCAGGTTGCTAGCTGAAGCACTGCATTAGGATGTATAAAACTTTAAAGGTTTTACTTAAGCCATTCAGTTGTACTGCATCCAATACCATCATGGATGCCTCAGTTGTCTGAGACCATCATGTAACCAAAAATCCATTTGTCAGTACATATGGGCCTTTTCTTTGCGGTTTTAAAGGAAAAAAGAGGACCTAATTATGAATATTTAAACATTTAATTAAGATCAGTGTTCTTAGAACATTCATATGCAACCACTTAAAGAGTTATTTGTAATTCCAAAGGAAAAAGAAATTGGTTTCTATCCCCTCTATTTATTGTAACGTTTTACTTTAAAACTTTTAGCAACTTGAACAAGATATTCCCCAAGAAAGTCATATTTCTGTCAGCCTTTAGTATTTTCTTATAATGAATATTAAATATAAAGCTAAGTTAAATTTCCTCCTGAAGAAAGTTCTGAAATAGCATTGAATTATTTGTAAGATGATGATGGTTGTGGTGATGGGAGTTGCTGAAGGAGATTGTGAGGCTAATATCTAACCCTCAACTTGGTTATGCTATGCATTTTTTAAAAATCATTTCATATAGACTTCAAACCATAGCCAGTGAAGGGAGAAATATATATTAGCATTTACTAAAGAAAAAACTGAAATGTATTAGTAAATAAGTAACTTATCTAAAATCAAACATTTAATAAATGCAAGACAAAGGTTCAAATTCAGGTTTATGTGACTACAAAATCTGTATGTTTAACTATGAGCCAATATTACTAATAACCTAATTGTTCCCTTAGAAACAGTCATGTTTAAGACCACTAACTTTTGGTATACTGTTTTATTTAGAAATCACTTTCTAGAAAGTCTATTGTTTCCTCTGTTGATTTTGATAGTGTTAAATATGGGGATAATTAAATGTGCAGAAGGCAAAAATATTGATTAGCATGTCTAACATTTAATTTTTAAAATTTGATATCTGAGACAGGCTGTCAAAGAGTCCTGTACACATGGACTCTTCTAAGCACTTACTCCAAGAGAATTAAATGATATCAAGTGATATCACATTTCTGCAGAATGAGTCATATTGTTCTCGAGTCAAAACCTTCTTATTATGTCAATAAATAATGAAATACGATTAGACTCCCGTGATGAGAACCATGTAGCAATGTTAATACAGTTTTCTGTCACTTTCAGTCTTTACCTTTTTATAAATTTTAATATCAGAACCTGTAAATGTAGGCAGTCATCTTGTGTCAGAAGTATTAGGTATTCACATTTAGGAATAATCAATCATATGTTTCCATATTTTCACTTTGGAGTCATTTTCAATCTTTCCGGTCAGTATTGCAGAATGTTAGGTCTTTAATAATCACTATTTACTTTTTGACCCCATTTCTATCATGCCATATTTTGCCTGTGTAATGAAAGGTAAGTATATTCCTGACACTGCACTGTTTTCTTCTTTGATCCTGTTTCATTGATCCTGTTTTCTTTTTTGTCTGCCATAACTCAGAGTTAGATTTGAAACCACACTTTAAAACCATTTAACACATGTTTACTAATTGCACTCAGCTTCATCTTATCTTTCAGTTCTTATTTTCCAGTCACCTTATTTCTTAATCTTTTTGTTTTTATCCATTTTTTGAATTTCTGTAAGCCCTTTCAAGTTTCTTGTTTTGTTTTGTGCTTGTAGGTGACAGTAATAATCACTAAACCCAGCGCTGACAAGTTATAGAAAAGAAACTGAAAAACGATTGTCAGTGCTAGATTTCTTAGCTCTGACTATGTTGAGAATTTTATGTAATCTGTTATTCTCAAGTCTCCACTGAACATAGACTTATTCATAATAGTATCAGTCAATGAGCACCCATCTAAAAAATGCACAGAAAGTAGGAGTATATCATTACAAAATTTCAGAAAGTGCCAAGATCCCACCAAGTTATTTATTTTTGTATTTGTTTGTATGTTTGATTCTGATAAGTCTTAATATACAGTGTTATGAGAGCAGAAGCCAGCAATATCCCAACATCAGTGAATCTAGAGTCAACTTGGCACAGGTGTATGTTCCTTGTCTTTTCAATATGATTTAGAGTAACAGCAGCTTAGTAAATGGAACTTTTGTAGCATTTAAAAGAAAATGCATAAATTATCCTTTGTAATTCCTACACATTGAGATAATGTGGCTGGATAATGATAAAAGGTACTCCTTTCCACTTCTCCCCATGGGAGCACAGACTTATTTTGTATTCAGTTACTTAGAAGCTGAAATTGATTGCATCTCCTCGAAAATATCTTTTTTGAAAAAAAAATCAACTCCTGAGCTTTGTCTTCATTAATGTTAGATATAAGTGCCTTTTTTCAAGGAGTGGCTTATTGAAGTTTATATCTTATCTACTTTTCTTTAACGAAAAGAAAATAGAAGAATTGGCTAAATTGTTTTTCCATTGTAGCGTGGAGACGATCAATGATGGAAACTTCCACATTGTAGAACTGCTCGCCCTGGATCAGAGTCTCTCTTTGTCTGTGGATGGAGGTAGCCCCAAGATCATCACCAACTTGTCAAAGCAATCCACTCTGAATTTTGACTCTCCACTCTATGTAGGAGGTAAGTTCTCTTCCAAATGCATTGGGTCCTCAAATCATATGATTCTCATCGTAAATTAATTCTGAAATCATTGATGCCTAGTGCATCAATTTTTGCATTTGACCAGTAGCAATCAGTCATTGAAAGGTGGACTGCAAAGTTAGAACAGAAAGATCTCTAGATGAGTGTTAAAGAAACATTTCATAATCCTGACTCTGGTTCTCACTAAATATGTGTCACTAGGGTAGAGGAGGACATTATTTAATATATTTTTTGTCTATTACATTATCTCATCTTAGGTAATTTACAGCTCATATCAATTAATCTTTTTTGTGGTGTGTGTGTGTTGGGATCTCACTCTGTCACCCAGGCTGGAGTTCAGAGGCATCATAATGGCTCACTGCAGCCTCAAACATCTGGGCTTAGGAGATCCTTCCACTTCAACCTCCCAAGTAGCTGAGACTACAGGTGCATACTACCATACCCAGCTAATTTTCTTATTGTTTTTGTAAAAACAAGGTCTCACTATGTTTCCCAGGCTGGTCTCAATCTCTGGGACTCAAGCAATCCTTCCCCCTCAGTCCCCAAAAGTGCTGGAATAACAGGTCTGAGCCACTGTACCAGGCCTCATTGAATTGTAAATTTGATCTGGTCTATAAGAGAAAAAAAGTTGGTTAGTGGGCAGAGAGACAATAACGAAAATGATGAAACAAACTCCAAACAATCCAGGGAGTAGATAACCTCACCACAGCTCCCTTAGGGAAGCTGACCCTACAAAGCTCAGTCAGATGTTACAGTGCTGGGATTTCTGCACTACCAGTTGCTAATTCATGTGGATGACAAGATAATTAACCCAATCCAGTGAATGAATGAATGAATTCAATGTACAAATTGTACTGAGAAAACAGGAAGTAGTCCTGTGAAGGTAGTATCTTAATGTGAATGAACAAGAGAGAGGATCGGAAAGGTAAATTAAACCTTGGAATGATAAAGACCCTGAACTTTATTTTTAAGTAACAAGAAGGCAGATGAGTGAATAAATAAGGGGCAGAGCTATAAGCAAAGTTCTAATGGTGCCCAGAGAAGAGGACCCACAAAGGAAAGAACTCCCACTCTTGTCTCTAGCTGAAGAAGCAAATATAAGCTGGAGGCATAGAATTTCAAAATTCAGGCAAAGGAGCAAGAAAGCAAGTGATGTTGAATGGAGGTGTAATGAATTAAATTGTATAAAATTGATTTGAATTGACAGATAAAACTAATTTCTTTCACAGATAAATAAGCTAAAGCTTCTGAACAGGTCAATGTACCTGATTTCTTCACCATGACAGGTATTTGCATGAAGTTTCATGTTATTCCCTGAAGAATAGTAACATTGGGATGCAGCACCATTATCTTAACCCCTCAAAGCCTTCTCTTAAGGCATTTTGGAATTGTCCTCTAAGTCTAGAACACTTCTGTTTTTAATAATTTCAGTAGTAGAAAATCTTAACACTTTTATAAAGTTAGATTTTTTCAAGAAACAATTCAGAGTATTTGATTCAACTCTGTAAATATTCATTAAGCACCTACCTCATGCTGGAAACTAAGTAAATGGATACATATAGAATACAAAGTTAGAAAAGAAATGTCCTTGGAAAGCTAGGAATGCAGACCCATCTTCAAGTAACTATAATGCATTATAATTAAACTATTGCACATTGAGCTGACTCACTAAATTGACTGGTCTGATTGCTTAATGAGAATCACAACTCTGAGACTTACTGAAAACAAAAATAATCTGTATTCCACTTAACCAGGTTGCTTTGGGATGGCTGAAGCAAGTCACAGATGTACCTGTGATTTGAGAGAAAATAAATTATATTTATTGTAAGCGCATGCTGTGTCCCCAACATAATGTTTCTTTTATAGTCTTGTCTTCAGAGACCTTAAGAAGTAAGTATTATTTTCTCTGTTTTACGGTTCCAGAGAGGACAGCCTCAGGGACTTTTATAACTTTTCCAAGTTCAGAAAGGTATTAAGTAGTAGACACCTCACTTAAGTCCTCATCTATCTGACTCCAAAGCCACTTGCAATCATCATTCACTTCTTAACATCAAGCAGGGAGAGAAGAAATCTAAGCTTTGTGGGGTTTTTTATTGTTTATTTCCAGATTTGTCCTTCACTTGATTTTATTATGCTTTTATTAGAAACTATTTCATTTCATTTTTAAAACCCCTTTAGAACATAGTGCAAAATAAATTTTTAAAATACAGGATGGGATTATCTAGGTCAGAACATTTTTTTTTTAAGAAAAAAGTTTTTAAATTCCAAAATGAAAAGCGCCAATCCTTCTAAGGGTAGAGCAAGAAAAAGAACCCAGACCTCACCTCTTTCCCAGCCAGGCCTGAGGGAAACCACTTTCATCCCAGCCCCTGGGACCACTTCCTTCCAGCTCAGACTGTGGTTTCAAGGGAGATTCGGATTTCTAAAATGCGAGGAACCCATTAGACCACTGCTTTGAATGCTGGGTGGAAAAGGCATGAGAAGCAGTTAGAAAAGGAGAGTGAGGTAAACAAGTTCAGTTTAAAAACAGGGACACGAAGGTGATGCGTTCTCTCCTCCAGAAGTATAGGGAGAAACAACTTAACCTACCCTTAGGTTATCAACTATCCATAGTATAAGTCTTACTTAACACATAACAATTTAATCTTTGATTTTTTCTATATAAAAGTCCAACCAAAACCTTACTATCTAACAGAACAATAATAATAATATTAACTAAATAAGACCCGCACATAGGGATTCATGCATATATCACAAATCCCCTCCCAGTGCTGCCACACAGGACAAAGGACTTCAGTCTTGATACTCGGTCTTTTTTGTTGTTGTTTTGAAGCATGTAAAATCTAAGACTAAAAACTCTTTACTATATTACCTCCTAATTGATTGAATCCTAGCTAGGCCCATGGCATAGAGGAAAGGCTAAAAAAATTGTGGCCAGACCCAGTGGCTCAGCCTGTCATCCCTGCACTTTGGGAGGCCAAGGTGAATGAATTGCCTGAGCCCGCAGGTTCAAGACCAGCCCGGGCAACTTGGCAAGACCTCGTCTCTACCAGTTAAAAAAATAAATAAGCCAATTAGCCGGGTGTGGTAGCATATGCTTGTAGTTCTGGCTATTTGGAAGGCTGAGATGGAAGGATCGCCGGAGCCCAGCAGGTCGATGCTGGGGTGTCCATGAGTGTGCCACTGCACTCCAGCCTGGGCAATGGAATGAGACTCCAACTCAATAAAAAAAAAAGAAAAATGTGACTCTTCTGTTTATCAGTTAAGACATATCCAAGCACATGAGCAGGTCGATTCAGAAGAGTTCTTGATTTTAAGATATTCTGTTGAAATTCAAATATATGTATGAGTATAAACATTTTCATGTACAAGTTATTCTCAGTGAAGCCTGGTCCTTTATAATTGTTAACTTTAGGACAATTAAAAAAAAAAAAAAACAGATTTACTAATTGTTTCTCCCTGCTGTGGAACATCGCCAGTCTGTATTAATCTTGACATGTGCACATATGTGCTTTGTGCCACTATCAAAATGAGCTGTTAAAAATAGTTTGGGGAGCCGGGCTTGGTGGCTCAACCTGTAATCCCGCGCCTTTGGGAGGCTGAGGTGAGTGAATTGCCTGAGCCCTCGGGTTCGAGACCCGCCTGGGCAGCGAGACCTCATCTCTACAATAAATCAAAAAATCAGCCGGGTGTGGTAGCTCATGCCTGTAATTCCGGCTACTCGGAAGGCTGAGGTGGAAGGATCGCTGGAGCCCAGCAGGTCGAGGCTGCGGTGGCCGGGAGCAGCCACTGCACTCCAGTCTGGGTGACCGAGTGAGACTCCAACTCAAAAAAAAAAAAATAGTTTGGGGAGATGTTTATTTTTCATCTCTGAAGAATGGATAATAAATATATGATCATTAAAATCCACACGTTTATGATGGATAGATATTAAATTAGAAAGACTTACCCCAGAGCAAGAATTTTCTGTTACTAGTCCTCTACTGGAAATGGCAAATTTCAGCCTTTTGACCCTGCTCTAGAAAGCAACCCAGTTTCCAAAGCTAGAGGGACACACACTAAAAGATTGCATTCATGGAACTTAAAAACCAATGAATTCAGTACCGTCAAAGTGTGAGCATGGATCAGCTGCATCAGAATCACCTAAGCTGCATGTTGACATTTAGACTTCTGCAATTCTCCCATCCCTACAGAAGGAGAACCTCAGGGTAGGGAGAGAATGGGGCCTGGGAAGTTGTGTTGGAGCATGCATCTCTGGTCCAGCTGCTCATGTTATAGACGAGAAAATTTAGAGAAATAAAATGATTGGTTGAAGTGCACACAGAACCGCAAATAAAGGTCAACCTAAACGAGTGGTTTTCTACGCCTTACACCTAGGTGTCTGACGTTGGTACCTGCTAGAACATAAATAGATGAGACATTTCCTTTGAATGAGATCTGTGGTTTTTGGTCTTTATAATCAACAAACCCCCTGGAGAGTGAGAGCCTGAGTTTTTCTCAGCCTAGAATCTCCTGCCAGTAGTCCAGAGTCCAGGCACAGCTAGGACATGAGCACCAGGCGGGGAAAGTCAGCCACTCAAAAGGACTGCAGCTCTCTCCTCTCACCCCACAGTGACCTGGATGGTTGCCTTCTGCAGGATGCCTTCCAGGAACAATTTAAGGGTCTAGTCTAAACCATGGAAATATTCCTCAGTTTTGCCAAAATGAGGGTTACCAGATGACTGTCACTAGTGGAATCCATGTGTACAAAGATTACAATGCTCTGTTTTTGAAGGAATTTCTTTGAATTCTTGATTTCTTGGAATGTGAAGGCCTTACTCTCAATTAGCAAGAAAAAAACAAAATGTGAATGAGGTGCTATGCTGGTAAGAATCAGGGGCTAGTTTTTCAGGCATTGACATCAATGGTTGAGCTCTCAGATGTTGCTCGTGATAAGCTGGATGTGTTGCTTACACAGAATATAGCATGGCTGGGTTGAATGGTCACTGTGAACCCCAGCTCTCACCCTCTGAAACTTGGTGGATCTAACCCTGACTCCAGTTATTGAAGAGGTTTAGCTCATCAGCTTAACTGGAATCCAAACTTGCTGGATGGCACTGAGCATGTCACCTGAGCTCTGTGGGCCCTGGCCTCCTTGTCTTTTAGATAACAGGGGTGAGGGGGGTAGACTTAGTCAGAGCACTACAAACTGAGCTTTTTCGACATCTGGGTTTCCAAAAGATTGTCTCTAGAGGGAGAGTTATAGAGAGGAAAAAACATTAATCCCTATCACCCAGTCTTGCTTCTAAGTACAGCAGCTCTGCCTCTAGGTTTTATATATTTGTGTCCCTGTAAAGTTTTGTTTGTGACAGATTTTTAAAATTAATAATTGACCACCAGTGTACTTTATTCTAGTTGTGCATTAGAATTGCCTGGAGCATCCACAAAACAAAAGCAAAAAATACACATCTTTTCTCCACTGCCCCCAACTCTGCCCAGATATCCTGATTTAGTAGATGTGGGGAAGTTCCAAGCATCAATATTTCTGGTTAAAAAATGACTGTGGATCTCCCAAAGAGTATGACTTCTGACCTGGTGTCCCTTCCCAGGCATGCCGGGGAAGAACAACGTGGCATCTCTGCGCCAAGCTCCCGGGCAGAACGGCACCAGCTTCCACGGCTGCATCCGGAATCTTTACATCAATAGTGAGCTGCAGGACTTCCGGAAGGTGCCCATGCAAACAGGCATTCTGCCCGGCTGTGAGCCATGTCACAAGAAGGTGTGTGCCCATGGCACGTGTCAGCCCAGCAGCCAGTCAGGCTTCACCTGTGAGTGCCAGGAAGGATGGATGGGGCCCCTCTGTGACCAACGGACCAATGACCCCTGTCTCGGAAATAAGTAAGTTCCTGCTGCTGTATGGTTGAACATACACATTGAAACCCTCAAAGCAAAACCCTGGGAAGAAGGGAACAAAGTACAAAGTCATATGGATGGGGTGAGGGAAAGAAGGAGGGAAAACCATTAGTCATTAGTATTCTGTTCCTCATATTTGTCTAGTCGTCCTCCCTTTGTTTTTACCTCCTCTGCCGAATGCATTCCCACTCCTGTGCTTCTCCTCCCCTGTAGATGTGTCCATGGGACCTGCTTGCCCATCAATGCATTCTCCTACAGCTGTAAGTGCCTGGAGGGCCATGGAGGTGTCCTCTGTGATGAAGAGGAGGATCTGTTTAACCCCTGCCAGGCAATCAAGTGTAAGCACGGGAAGTGCAGGCTCTCAGGACTTGGGCAGCCCTACTGTGAATGTAGCAGTGGATACACAGGGGACAGCTGCGATAGAGGTAAGCCAGCCCAGTGGGGCAGCTCCTTCCTGTCTTGGCAAAACAAGAGGGACCCCCCACCTTTGAAAGCAGTGAGAGAAAGAGTGAAAGAAACAGATGAGAGAGACAGAGACAGAGAGAAGGGAGTGATATGAGAGAATATCAGGTGTTTTCGCCATGTGCAGTTGCCACTAGTGATTTAAGTGCCATGAAGGGACCAGATGTGAAATGTCCTGGACTTCCACAGCAAGATTGTCCTCAGCATTCTGACACCATCTCACATCTTGGTTTACTGTGAAAATCCTCCTTTTCACCTTCTGTAAAAGCACACTTACTTTTCTTGTCTCTTACCTTTACCTATTGTTCCCATCCATTTGGATTGTTAATTCGTCTTCTACGCAGAGATGATGGAGCTAATAATTCTGCTCTGGTTTTAGTACCAAGTCACCTTTGACCTTAGAGCTAACTGATTGATCACAGCAAATTGTATGGGTGAGAAGGATGGAAATGGGTTGACTTCTAAGCCCACCATCCTCCTTGTCCTCCTCCTCCTCCTCCTCCTCCTCCGTCTGCGTGATCAGAGATCGCTTTGCCTCCAGCTGGCACAGATTTTGTTTTGCATCAGATGGATGAGACAAAAGGAACGTGCCCATAGAAGCTTTTAGCAGATGTCTCTTTTTTGAACTATGTACTTCATACTAGGGTAATTTATGAAGTTAGTGGAATGTTACTTGTATTAAGTAACAGTTTGGATAATATTAAACTCTAGGTCTAATAAATTAAATTGCATACTCTCTGAAACTGCTCCCTGTGGTAAACAAAACCAGCTGTTAGTTGTGTAAAAACAGACGATATGTATTTTTTTTCCTTTTTTGCAATGAAGGAAAAGATTTAGGAATCCAATTTTATTCAGTTTAATAGCATTGTATTTATAGTCTACGTATACAGCATTCACTTTGCTGAAAATAAAGACCAAAAAACAATATTTTTTAGAGAACAGTGTGCTGTGTCATCAGTCAATAATATGTAATATAGGTAACAAAGAAGAAACAAAGACAACACCTCCTGAATTGAGATATAGATTCACAGTCCCTTAGCATGACTTACAGACATTGTTCTCAAGATGCTTGTGCTTCTTGTTCTTTCCTAGAAATCTCTTGTCGAGGGGAACGGATAAGAGATTATTACCAAAAGCAGCAGGGCTATGCCGCTTGCCAAACAACCAAGAAGGTCTCCCGACTGGAGTGCAAAGGTGGGTGTGCGGGAGGGCAGTGCTGTGGAACTCTGAGGAGCAAGCGGCGGAAATACTCTTTTGAATGCACTGATGGGTCCTCCTTCGTGGACGAGGTTGAGAAGGTGGTGAAGTGCGGATGTACGAGGTGTGCCTCCTAAATGCTTTCAGCAGGTCTGTCTTTGGAAAATGTTGTATACTTCTTGGCCATGTTGGACTAATTGATGCTTCATAGTGGAAATATTTGAAATATATTGTAAAATAAAATACAGAACAGACTTATTTTTATTATGATAATAAAGACTTTTTTTTCTGCATTTGGGGAAAAAAGAAAAATAAATGCTTGGACTGAAGTTTCCCCTACCTGAAGAAGAGTATGCAGAAAGATACACCTGGAGGCATTAGAACCACGATGGAAACCTTTGCAATCCGGATCCATCTTTGTAACATGGTAAAGACAAGCAGAAGCACATACAAAAGGGACAGAGTGCACTGATGTGATGTTTCCCAGAGCATAAACCTGTGTACCCTCCTTCATATCAGCGGCATTCACTAGGACACACCAAGCACATACTTGTGAATGAGGACTTAAGGCAGGGGAATGGAACTCCAGAAGTCAAAGGTAGAGTAAATGGATGAGAATTATTTGGGCAAAATGTAAAGTATCCTGAAGATCTGGTTTCCATTCATGAGAGGAAATGAAAGTGCTAAAATAAAATTTATCTTCTTTTTCGATGTCAGCATGTCAGCAGAAGCAGCACACAAAAATGTTTATCTGCCATTTTCCAGTATTAGTTTTTTGTAATATAAATGATAAAGGAGATGATAAAGAACCAATAGATTATTGATAAATAAATTAGTAATAATATGAATTTTTTGTTTCTATGAGTTCTAAACAGCCCTATACAGTATTCAGTTTCAATGAGAAATATTTATTGTATCAAAGTACATTGTACTTAACATTTTAGGCCATCCTTTTGCTGTTTCTTGATGCTTTAATATATATTAATTTATAATTATCCTGATATTTTTGTACATTTTTCAAACTTAAAATCAGGATTTTTTTTTTTTTTTTGGCAATAGTACTAACAAAGGGTTTTATCTTGGGATAAATATGTGTTGGTCTGTTTGTTGACCTTGACATCTGACCACTGGTGTCACTGACCTACTCACCTCATTCAGGACACCTGTAGAGAGTATGCAATGTCCAAGAAAGGAAAACACAAATCTGTGTATGAGATGGTCATTGATTGTACAGAGAGAAGAGGCCTCTCAGCAACATGTCCTCACAGAAAAGAAATGGTATGTAGCAATCGATGCTAGAAAGTAGACCTTTTACAAATTAATATCTCCTTGACCTGTTTTACCCTTTTATTGGGGGGTGGAGAGAAAAAAAGACTGTCATGTGAAGAACTGTGATTTTTTCTCCAAACAATAAAACTCCTTTATTACCTTAATGTTCCCATGTTAACATGTTTGCTGCTAAATTACAGTGTAGAATTTATAATGATTTATAGTGGACTGTACTCTTCCCTCTTTAAATCCCAGGGTGCCCTGTAAAGACGCAGATGTTTCTTTCCAAAAACTTTTTTTACAAAGAAAATTAGATGTACATGTATAATTCAGTGTGCTTTGTCTTTCTCCAGACTAATATCAGTTACACTGCTGATGTTTGTAAATTAAACAGATATTTACTTCATTAACAGCTTGGTGGTTTTCTTAAAAATTGCACAATAGTGAGGCCCCTCTTTCAGACCTTGTTAACTGAAATGATTTAGAAAGAGCAAGGAAGAAATCCTATACTTTTTGTTGCCAAAATTGTTTTGAGACTCACACATTGTCATATCTGGGGACTTTGGACTGGCCCCATAAAAGAGTTGGATGTAAGAACTCACTCTTTGCTAGGAAAAAGATACATCTTCACTTAATTTCTTCAAAAAAATTGTAAGGTAAAGTTTAAGGTGAAGTGGTTTTTTGTTCTTTTCCCCTCAAATAGAACAAGATGGAAAACAATAAAAGATGGAGTGTCTTTTGTCACTCTCAAGCCAGAGTTGGCGACCTCAAAGCATACCATCCTGAACAGAGAAACAACACTGGCCAGGGAGAATATTAATACTCATTCAACATGATAAGATGTCTTTGTTTCTTTGTGAGAGAACCAAATGTACACACGTACATAGACACAAACACACACACACACACACACACACACACACACACACACATACACACACACACACACACGATCTTTCACAGACATGGACATTCAAACATTTATTCTTTCTTATTTAACATGTCTTTGTTTAATTTTTTTAAATATTGTGCAGCCATTGTAAACATTTCTTTATTCCCATTGATTGCTTCTTTTTTGCATGGGGTTTAGATCATTCATTAAACAAAGAAGCATCTTACAATCCCATGATTTAGATTTGTGTTTATAGGCGCATGTTATCTATTTAGCCACTGTGCTTTGAATGCTTACTATATTTGTCAGGTACTAAGCTAAGGACTTTGTATGAAATATCTCATTCATCTTCATAAAACTGTGGAGTTATTGGGCTTTCTGTCTTATACAAGCATTTAGGGCTCACAAACAAAGTAGCAGATAACACTTCAGCCATTTAAGACTTTGTGTCTATAATAAAGGCATTATCATAGTAACGACTACATTTTGGGGAGACTTTTTAAGCTTTGGATCCTTATTTCCACAGCCCAATAATTCTTCTCTATTGATTATAAAGATTTAAGTAATCTAGAGTAGTGACTTTACTTTTTTTTTTTGAGTTGAAGTCTCACTCTATCGCCCAGACTGGAGTGCAGTGGCCGCTCCCAGTCACCACAGCCTCAACCTGCTGGGCTCCGGCGATCCTTCCTCCTCAGCCTTCCGAGTAGCCGAAATTACAGGCGCGCGCTACCACGCCCGGCTGATTTTTTGATTTATTGTAGAAATGAGGTCTCGCTGCCCAGGCAGGTCTCGAACCCGCGGGCTCAGGCAATCCACTCACCTCAGCCTCCCAAAGGCGCGGGATTATAGGCTGAGCCACCAAACCCGGCTACTTTTTTCCAAGGAAACAAAAAAGTGAAGTCTTCATAGCTTCCAGACTATATTCTTTCTTTTTCCTGCTCATAAAGACACGAAATAAAATTATGGCTGTTTGGGATTTGGACTTAGCAAGTTTCTTGGGGGATTGTTTGCTCTGTGATAGGACTACCTTCTGCACATATGTCCTTCTCTGAGAAATACATAGGCAAATAAGTAATGCAAACAGGACAAATTAAGGGCAACTATTCATGTTATAACTGGCCCCTTACTTATAAGGCCTTGATCCCAGGATTTCTTTAAATAGAAAACTATTCCAGAACATGTCCAACAGCATTTAATACATTTTTTAAAATTGTACACTTTGGAATCAAAGCTACTACATTTGTAATCTGAAAAAATAAAGTGATTAAAGATCCCTAATGTGTTTACTTTAAATTCTCACGTGAGTGAAGCACTGTCAGGAAATGCCATGGCATTTGACATGTGTTTGATTTAAGATATGTTCATTGAATAATAACCATCTCAATCTTTGGAATTTTATTTTAGCACAGATTTCCTGAAATTATTTCTAAGCAATGTTGACTAACACCATTTTAAAATTGTTCTGAGCATCTTCTTTTTTGGATAATTTGCTTTGTCAGCAGCAATTCTTACTGGCGAAATGATGAAAAAACTGTTGAAATCGATTCTGGACTTAAAGATCTTGAGCTTTATGGTGTCACTTGCCTCAGGGAATGATCATTGTTTCAAAAGTAATGTTTGTAAAACATACATATAAACTATAAAAAGTATATGAGGCTTCTTATAAAGCTTTATATTGAGTATAAAAAGCTATATGTGATACATAAGCTATCTTCATCTTTAATCCTGTATATTTAAAAGTAACAACAGATTTATATTTTCTATCTCCCCTCATGTGCAGGAAGCTATACTAAACTTTTGATATACAGCTTAAGATGAAACAGACATTCCTTTGGCCATTTTAGAGCTTTGCTCTATGTGGTTGAAGTTAAAGTGGGTAATAGATATTATACAAATGGTCACACTAGTACATAATTTCAGTTGAGATAATCACCCTGAAAGAAGTTATGCGATACTAGGAAACAGTATAGCACAAGGATCCACTCAAATACACATTGAGAGGTTCTGTAATGCCTCTGTGAGGAAGTAACATTTAAGCCAAATCAAGAAGATCAAGTTTGTCTAGGATGAAGTCAGATGGAAATCTGTGTGGGAATAGGGGTTGCAGGTTCATACAGAAAGTGCAGCCTGTGTATAGTCCTGATGAGGGAGAGAACTCTTGCATGGTCAAGGAAACAAATTAATTTAGTGAAGCTAGGGTGAGACATAGGTTTATTTGTTGTGTATAACACAACAGTGGCCATTTTGGGGCTTTCCTGATTCACTTCGTACAGTCCATATTTTTTCTTCTGGCCATCTGTTTGCAGTGAGCTTTTAAAATTTCAACCAAAAAGGATTTCCGTTTTTAAATAGTTACTAGTTATTTGACTTAATGCAGTTCTTCTCAATTACCAAACAAATGAAATACCTCTAAAGACATAAAAAATATGAGTACTTGAAAAAAGTAGTGCTGAAAACTAGGAATAGCATTCCAGAATTTCAGAGGAATTTTCATGAACTGAAGACTGATCAAGCTAGATTAAAAAACAACTGCTGGTCAGTTCATGTTTTGAAACTCATGTGCATTTCTTCTCTGTTTATACCAAGACCAGAGCCTCGGGAAATGAGTCAGCTGGAAACATATCAGAAAATATCTGTTCATCAAAGGTATCAATTAAAATCTGAGTTTAAGTTGCAGTATGGTGACTGTTCCCAGCTGGAAACACCTTGGATTACAGTTGCTGACTTGGGAAGTCCCAGCCTTCTGTCCACCAGCCCATCCTTCACTCTATTAAACGAAAACAATTTTTTTCCTCTAGGTAATGTCCAAATCTTTAACTCTAACTGCAGGATAAAATCTATACTCTTCAGCTTGATATTCCAGATTCCTCCCAAAGTGACCTGTTCAAATTAGCCTTTAAGCTGTGCTCTTAAGCTGAAAAATACTAGGAAATGATATTTTTAAGCAAATTCTGGGCTGAAATGTCTCCATAGTAAATATAAATTTCACCCACATAGAGGTGGTAGTTGAAGCAAAGAAACTGAATAAGCTAATTTAGAGTCACAACAGTGTAAACTTGGCCAGAAGACTAAAACACCACTTTAGATAATACATTTCTGGAATAAAGTAGTCCATAGTCATGGATAAGGAATGATAGGTTTCCCTCTTAATAAGTCCAACAGTAAAAGAAGAGAGGATGGCCACTGGAAAAGTTGAGGTTACAGCGTTGTTATTCAATGAGTCAGTAAGTGTAGTCACAGCTTGTGATGGTGAGGGGCAAACAATTGAAGTATATTATGGAGAGATACCAAGGTCCGAGTTGGAGGAGCAAGACCAGACTGGGTCATCAGTGAGCTTGTTTAATCAATGGAAGTAAAGAGTGGAGCCCTGACATAATGGGGCTGAGAAAACAGGATACCTGTGAGCAACTGCCACAAAATCACCCAGAGTGAAGATGTTAATAGATGAAGATATACAAGAATTATTTTTCAAATGGACTTCATTGTTGCCTCCTTCTTCCTCACACAAAGGGGATATAGAGAGCACTTTTAAGAGAGAAATTTTGTCCAGATATACAAAAGTCAACTGAGAGAAGACATTGCCATTCTGCATTTGGAATTGGCTTTGTCTTTGTGTTAATAAGTGGGTAGTTGAATTTGGGTTCATAAGAGAATAAAAAATAAAAAATCATACACACAAAACCAGGTCATGGGAGAAACAGCCACGGAGAAAATTATCTAAAAACCTGCTATCATTAATCTTACTCTCCTTTCTTGATGTGGCTAGAATTTCTTTTATTTATTTATTTTTTTTTACATAGATTGTGGCAGTGAGATTAAGTGACTTGCCCAAGGTCACACAATCCAGCTCTCTTGACTCCAACCATAATAAAGTATTGATTTCACTGAAATTGAAAGGCAAATTCTATGAATGGCCTCATGAGACAATGCTGGAGGGAAAAAAAAAAAAAGGTATTTCTCCAGGGGAGTTATTTTGGTTTTTTAAAAAATGCCCATGAATAGCACTCACTTTCCCAATAAAAACACATTAAAATCTTCTTAATATCTCCCACTTGGTAAAAGAAGATAAATAATGCTTTTAATTGGAATTTTCTTCCAGAAACTGTAACTGGAGAGATAGAATGAGTTTTACATAGTTGCTTCAGTACTTTTGGTCATTGTTCTGCTCAGATATGTCTTGATTGAGTGGGCTGACCAGGAACAATTGATTCTGTTGCTAAGATTGTCACAAGGAAAGGATCGAACATGCCCTAGTCCAGTTATATCAGTTACAAAGTCACATCCTTGGACTCACTCTAGGTCACAAGGCATTCTTTGTAAGGAAGAAAAAAAAGACATGAAAAAAATCTAGAAAGGAATTTCTATTTGAATGAATGTGTCTGATAATATCCGTTCACCACAATCCCAGAGGCCTGCATTATCTCAGAAAGGAGAAAGATGCACATCTATGAATTGCCTCATCTTGCAGTCCTGCTTGGTCTCTGCTCGCAGTATTACCATTCAATTACCTCCAC